GGGGAGGGAGTGTGGAGGAAAGGGGGGGCGGCTATGTAGAATGTGGGTCTGTGGTCGGGGAGGTGTCCCGCGCGCCGCCGGTGACCTGCGGCTCACATGTCGGTGTTGGGGGGCCAATGGGCGCGGCGCACGTGCGAGGTATGATCTCCGGCCGCGGAAATGGCACGCCTCTGATTGGGCGGCGGACACGGTGGCTTGTTCTCGGCATTGCTGGAGCAAGCAAGATGCACGGCACTCGCATGATTACGATCTGCTCTCCACCGGCCCCTCCACCGGCCCCTCCACGCCCATGTCGCCTCCACTCACCAGAGTCGGCACGCGACGCGAGTGCAAAGCGTGACCATGCCAGCGTCGCGCTGCGCGGGTGCGACTGATCTGCCAGAGGCGCAGGGTTGGGATGTGGGTTGACGACCCGGAACCCGACGAGGGGCTTGACGTGAGGCCTTTCCGAGAACACTGCCAAAACAATTTGATGACCGCGAGTTAAATAGTTTTAGCTTGTGCCTCTATTTGCCTCTATTCTATGGCTGTGTGTGTGTGTGTGTGTGTGTGTGTGTGTGTGTGTGTGTGTGTGTGTGTGTGTGTGTGTGTGTGTGTGTGTGTGTGTGTGTGTGTGTGTGTGTGTGTGTGTGTGTGTGTGTGTGTGTGTGTGTGTGTGCTATGCAGGCGCGGCCTCGGGCTCGGGCTGTTCTTCTCCCCTGGAAACGGGTTGTCCGCCTCCCGCGCGTCTTCTGTTGTCCTTTTCGATCATCTGGATGATGCCATTGAGTAGGGCAAACGAGCCGCATATCTGGACTGTTCGCACGCCGACGCCGCGCGGAATGAGACAAGCGAGCGTTGCCTTGACGTAGGGAAGCATCGATTTCGGCAGGGCGTTGGGGATGATTTTTTCGGGCACCGACTTGTCCACAAACATGCGGAACAGCTCCGGGTAGGGCTTGTTAGGGTTCATTAGCTTGTACGTGCTCAAGTTATGAGGGACATGGGAGAAATAGCCTGCGACGACGCCGGCGCTCAGAGAGCCCGCCGTGCCCGCAACGACGGCATTGGCGACGTTGCGGTAGCGCTCCTCAAAAAAGTCGCTCAGCTGGTTGAGGCCGATGCCGAAGATGACCTCTCTTCCCCCCCTCGGCAGCAGGCCCCTCGTGGCGCGATACATGAGGGGCTCCGGGTTGGCATGCCCGACGTTGCACGCCTCGAGCAGGCTGGAGATGGGGGTCATGACGATTCCGGGGGCGACCATATTAGTGACGCGGACGGCGACACGGGTGGGATGGGTGTCCCATTTGTCCGGGTCAATCTCTCGATCGAACAGTGCTCTGAGCCCCTTAAAGCCGGCAATGTAGGCGACGCGGGCCGGAACCTGGACGTGCATGTTGGGAAACAGCGGGGACGAGAGGCCGCTGAGGCGGTGGTTGAGCACGGAGTTGAGGGCGGAGCGGTAGTACGACTCGACGGTGGCTGCGACGCAGACAGCTGCAAAATTGACGTCGTTAGCGCGCTGTGCGAGGAGTGGGGTGCGAAACGAGCTGCCCTTGATGCGGAGGTCCTCGGAGAGGCCCTCGATGACCTGTGTGGCGAGGTGCGGGCGTTCGCGCAGCTGCTGGCGGAAGGTGTGCGTGCTCATGGCGTACGCGGCGCACGTCTGGGTGACGCACTTGGCCGTGGCGTAGATCGGGTCGCCGGCCGTGACGTGCAGGGCGCTGAGCGTGGCGCCGCACGCCTGCGTCTCGACGTAGCGCTCCACGCCGTCGCGGCCGCGGCGCAGGCGGCGCGCGTAGCCGTCCGCCAGCAGCAGCAGCCGGTCCGCCCCCTCGCTCTGCGCGATGATCACGTCCCCGCGCGAGAAGGTCAGCTTGTGCATGTGGCCCGCCAGCGCGCGCAGCTCCGAAGCGGACACGCGCGAAAACATCGGCGCCTGCGATAGCTTGGACGCCGCGTCCGTCACGTCGCCCGCGCTCAGCGGCACCGGCGCGGGGGAGGGCGCGGCGGGCGCGGCGGGCGCGGCGGGAGCGGGCGCGGGCGCGGGCGCGGGCGC